GTTGAAAAAGTGACAGTAGAGGTAACTACCTGAAATCAGCTGGATACAAACAAAGTTATTGATCAATTACTGTCTGGCCACCTCCTTGAAGGGGGCTCATTTAGGAACCAGCTTGAAGACAGCACAATTTGGTGGCCCAAAGCAAGCAAAAAAACAACCTCTCAAAGACATCTGAAGAAAGAAACCTCAAGAGCTCAAGTTCCACAGCTGTTTAAGTCATTGATAACCACAGGCATGAGACACTGAAAATTTTTAGCCTCACTCTTTCACTGCTATCTAATAATCAGTGAGAAATTGCGTATCTAAGAGGGGAACCAGGACCACACACTTTCAGGAGTAAATTACTGTTAATACTCATTTTTTATAACCAATACAAAGGAATCATTTTTGAAATTCAGTTTAATGTTATCTAAATATTGTATGGGCTAAAGATTAGGCAGGCAGGGAGCACTTACCTCCTTAGTGTTCTCCTTCGAGACAAGCTTCTTAAATATTTTTGCCAAAATATCATTAATTTTGTCTTTGGCCTTCGAAGCCTTTTCCTCCTAAATAAATAAATACAAGGAGACTTCTAAAACAAAATGCATAAAAATTAAGGGAAGTCAGACGAACCCACGGTGCCCTCAGCCCTGACAGCTGGATACAGGGCTTCCAAGGTGAAGAAAATCTCGAAGCAATCAGGGTTTTACATAGCCAATGTTTACACAGAGTAAGAGCATGGATATCATCCAGCTGCATGCTCCTTTGGAGAAGTCAGGGTTTAAAACCTGGTTTCGGTATAGTTAACTTTTAGTGGATCAAACACAGCATCAGGCAGCATAAAACCTTGGAGTTAAGTTACTGTCAATACTCACTTGTTTACAAACAATACAGAGGAACCATTTTAAAAATTCAGTTTAATGTTATTTAAATATTGTCTGGGCTAAAGATTAGGCTTTATTAATTTATGTGCACAAGTTTTAGTTCAGAACTCCCAGGACATTGAGTCCAACCAAACACTACAGAAACACAGGGCAAAAACTCATTCATAATAAGCAACTGTATCTTCTGCTACTCAATTATTCCTGTACTTCACTTCCAATTCAGTGTCATTTTTAAAACAATTGTATGCAGTTTTGCAAGCATTGCTGTTTGAACATCCTGAGCTAATTAACAAATTCAGAACATCTGCTGGACATGGTAAAGGAACACATGGATTAATTTAAATATCAGTAAGTTTCAGAAAGCAGCTGGTAATTGAGAGGTAGTGGCAATAACTCTAGTGCTAGCCAACACAAAATATTCACGAACAGCCCCAGTTTAAGTGTGCAAAACTTCACTTTACCAATAAGAGCCAAAGCTCCACTTATCATACAGCTCTGTTCCAGAAGAAAGTGCATGCCCGCTTCAGGTTAGGAGAAGAGACTGTGACTACTGAATCATGGTGGAGCAGCGAACGGCATCACGTCAATTAACACAGGATAGGGAACACTCACAAGTCACCTGCTGTCAAAGGGTACAAACTCACCATAAGCACAAAGCAATATAATCTAACTGCAAGACCAGTCTAGGGGTCCTGTAAAAAGAAGATTTCAGCCATTTGTGGAAGCTCTGGCATAGATCTGTTGCACAGGTACTAATTTAAAGCCACATTTTGACTGTAATCAGGCAAGATAATTTCAGTAATGGCCCTAACGCAGAAATTGTGGTCCAAAGAGCAAACAACAAAAGAAGCAGTTACGTGGAACAGACTGAAATCTAGAGAAGTGTGCTATTTGAAGCCTGCCTGTCCAGCTCTTCGATAACTCTGTTCTAGCTATGGAACAGATACATAATTTATGCTTCACAACCAGCTCTCAAACAGAAGTGCAGTAGTAAGGTGGAAACACATCATCTCCCTAGAGATGAAAGGGCTAGCAAGGCTACACAAGGTATGTCTAAATCTTCATACTTGTAGCTTCTGAAAAAGGCTAATCGGAGGACACACAAAAAAGAGAGCAGTGGCTACAGCTTTTGCAGACTAGCACTACCAGGTTTCTTAGTTACACAAAATAGTACAGTTTGCTGACATCAGATGTTTAAGAGCAAAAAGAATGTGGTGGTGAAATCTATCTGCGCTTGAAAACTGCACAAGGAAGACTGCTTAACCAAATGAGTTCAGGATAAATGAGTCCACTGACTGTACATCACTGCTAATCTATTCCATACCAACAGCAGCAGTCCCCCTCAAAGAAAGCATTTTTCAACAGATGGGACTATGCTTAATCTGTGTAGAGGCATCACAAGGGCTGGGTAATTTAAAATAAGCATTTCAGCAAATTTAATATTCTCAACTTACTCTCAAGTTACAGAAACATATTCCAAAACAAAAGAGCAACTATATGAAAAATGCACTACTGCTCATAGAAGTAAGAGTGCAAAGTCTCAGGAGTGCAAAGTCTCAGGATTGCACCAACAGACAGTATATATTCACTCATCTTCCTTATATCCAAACCCCAAGATTCATGTCAAGAATAGCTTAATTCAGTTTCTAGATGCTCAGTCACTAACATCCAGAAATAGAGAGTGACTTGTCTAACCAACAGTCACTGGTCTTCCTGTAGAGGCTGGTATAGTTAATGCAAACTTTATTTACAAAAGACACTTAAATTAGTTACTTCATGCCATGTGTCCATACAGAATCAACAGTTCAAGGATTACATGGAGAAGGATTCACAAAATTAAAAGCAAAATCACTAAAGATATTCTAAGAGTTAAGAACTAGGAAAAGATCTTAAAGACAATTTTACAAATAAAAAAAGTTATGAGAAACTAGTCTGAGCAAGAGGATGGTTGTTTACAGGTCTGTACACTAAAACTAATACACAGACAGCCTTCTATTGTCAAAGAGATGCTCACTGAGAAGCAGAGTATGTACAAATACTTGTGCCACAATGACTCAACCCCCCAAAATCCACTGTATTATACATAAACCAGTTTGTATACATTAGGCCTAAATGAGGCCATTTAACTATGAAGACTTCTAGTTTAGTAAACTAAAGCTGAAGACAGCCCAAGCAACAGGGATGCTGTCTCTCTCGCATCTCTATTTGCGACTGCTTTTTATTCTCTCCAATCTTTTTTTCAAGTCATCAATATTAGCTGCTGCAGAAGAGGGTGAAGCCAGGGTACTTCCGATGCCAGAGGAATGAGTCTGATTGGAGTCCAGGTCCAGATGTTGGTACTGCTCCCGTGACTCACGGAGCTGGGAGAGCTTACTGTGAAGCATATCTGTAGAGGATGCAACTGTAGGGACTGCTGGTTTAGAGAGCAGAGATGTCAGAGGTGGTCTGTCTTCCTGCTACGGGGAGGAAAGTGAAGCATTAAGAGAGATAGTGGCAGAAGCCATATGAGAAGTACAAACCATAACCAATGGCTTTTCATCTTTACAGGAAATACTAAAAACAGAGGAAAGGAGCAATACCACACAGGTGCTTTGGAGCAATAAAGTCAATTGCCATCAAAGGCAGAACCATGCCAAGCTAACTACAGTACTCAATTCCTATCATTTAAGGAGCTCATGTTTAGCTTGATGTCAGTAGGGACACAAAGGAACTAAAGTCTTTACAGATCAAAATTTCACAGCAGACCAGTGTTTTACTGAGATGGCCTGCTACAGTCTTGAACAGCCTGAATTCTGACACCACAAGAGGGAAGTCCATGCCTGTGTGCAGCATCATGAGTTTTCTGGAGGAATGAGAAGAGGAAACTTGGATTGATCAGCAAGGTCCACCCTGCCAAAGACTTACAAGGTCAATTCACTCTTCTTTTACCAATTGATACTTACGTTGTTACTGTCAAGGAACCATTTCTCCTCCTCAAAGCTGTGACCTGATATGCAAGTTTGTGTTAAAGGCTAAAACACTGGTGTGCCTGGATGACTATTCCTAGAGTGAACATCACTTTCCATGTGGCTAAGTGCAAACTTCAGTAATTGTCAGTAGATTCCTAACACATAGATCACTGAACTGAACTGTTAGACATTTTGGCCCACAGGTTTCCAATACTGAGCTCATTCAGCATTTCTGTGCCTCAGTATCCATACACCCAAAATGTATAAGACTTCATTCAAAGTCTTCATTCAGCTCTTATAGTTGTTTCAGAGCATAAAGGTCTAGAATTCCCACATCATTCAACTCAGAGGTCAATATATGTTAACATTCAGAGAACAGTAGTTATTTGAAACTTGCTGAAACTCAACTACATGGCAAGGGAAGATACCAAACTACAGGGCTGTAGAAACAACCTGCACATACACCAGTGCTGCACACACAGTGGACTGAAACATAAGCCTACTTGGCTAAGTGATGAGTTTAAAGCCATTTATACCAGGCATGATGACATACAGTGAAGAGCTAGGACATGCAGTATAATGAAAGATCATCAATCCTGACTGAAATCTGTATTTAGTGCAGAAAAAAACCCAATCATTTGAATTTTTTAACAAGTGCAAGTGAAGTGTCTCCCGTGGGGATTTACAAGTGTTAAGTACAATACCTTTGCATTGTCAAGGCCACAACGCTGCCTGAGGATTTTTAATCTTTCCAAGTAAACTGAAGGCCCCACTTCCTCCCCATTTGTGTTTCCTATAGATGAAGATACAGTGTGGGTAGAAGCAGGAACACACGTTCCTTCCATATGAGAAGAAATTCCTGGAGGATGAGGGGGAGGAAAAAAAAAGTAAATAAAAAAAGATTAAAAGACATCCAAAAAAAGTGTAAGGCTCTTGGTCAGTTCCTTGAAATAAGATTCAATGGATGAAGAAACAATCAACCTATAAACTTCCAAGCTATTTGCATTTGCTAGTATAGGTATATCAGCCCTTTCATTTCCTCGCAAGAAACAACTGAAAATGAAGAAATTGAGACATTAACAGTGGCAGCAGAGCAGCTCCAGAAGTAGTGCTGAGGCTGACAGCTGAAGAAAACAGCATGGGGAGAGGAAGATGCTGATGTGGATCAGCAGTAACTATGATGTACAACAGAGAGAACTCAGCAATTGGCAGGATGGGAAATACTTGGAGTCTTCTGTCTTTTTTCTAAGTTTAGTAGTACTTCTGGGCAGTCCTCACCACTGATTCTAACCCCTCTTTACCTCTCATTCAGGTAACTTAAAGCTGCTGATTTTTACAGTTCAATCTGAAATAGTGATTTTTGGAAGGCATATAGCAAGGTTTTTAAAGCTTCCCTAACAAAAGACTTAGGAAAGGATTTTACATTGTCAAAAAAACTTTCCATTCTCAAATGAATGGCAAGTTCTAAGACTTGGTGTGGACAGGGATTTGTTTTCACTAGTTTACTGCAAGGGTAAAGTATTTAAAATAATTAAGGTTAAGCATTTATACTTCAGTATAAATAAAGCACAGCTGCAAGATGGAACAATGCCCTTTATTATATCAAACTATTATACTTAGGGAGGGAAAAAAGACAAAATTGGGGCACAAATTCTGGTTTGAAATCTTTACCCACTTAACTAACATTTCTTGGTGGTACAGACTTTTAGGATGAAAGGTAGAATTTTCTGTCCTATCTAGTCAGATACATTTAGGAGGTTCTGAAAAAAAATTACATCATCTTCCTAAAGTAATTTACAATACAGGGATAGCAGAAGGAACAATAGTAGGAGAAAAGGATAAAGTCTCAGAGAACATTGTGAAATATGAAAGAAATTAAATTTATAAAGCAGTTTTGCCAGACTGTATCAGTTTTTACTGTCAGCTAATAATTTGTCACACTCCCTCCCTAATATTGCATTAAATACTTATTTGTGCTTATCTGCAATGAAAAGACTCACTAAAAAAGTGTTTTACAGTAATTTATCCAATTAAAAGCTGATTTAATGGAAAGGGGTCATCACAAAACTGGTATAGAAACAGTTCAAGCTACTTAAAATAAACTTGTTGATTCTGCAGCAAACAATATTAGATCAAAAAAAACCTCCTGTACCCTGTCAGTAACCAAAAGGTAAAAGGAGAATCTGACAGCTGCTGCTGTTATAAACCAGCTGTTTACTTCACAGAAACAATTCTTGATACCAGGCGCATGAAGCATAGGCTCAAGTTCAACACACACTACAGTATATGAATGAGAACCACTTGTTTACCAAGCCTCTCAGATGTTTTCTACATTTAGCGTGACAACAGTTATAACATCTTTTTTTATAAATAAAGAATGCATAGTCCCCGAAAATGGTGCCTCATAAAGCAACACAAGTGCCAAGACAATACATGACTCGCTTCGGAAACCCACAAACATCTCCAAATCTTAGTTTCTACCAAGGGATATGTAACCGCTCTCCTTATATGTCTGCTTCTCATAAATCAATCAGTTTTGATATAATATGTACCTGTAGAAGTAGCAATGCGTCCTTTCCCCTCCCGTTCTGTTTCTATCAGCCAGAGGCCTCTTTCCACATAGCTCTGGAAGAACTGAGAGGAGTTTTTCAGGAAGGGCTCAATGTCTGCATCAGAATATTTCTTTTTGTATTCATACAGCTCTGCCAGACCCTGAGAGGGAAGAGTTTTATGCGTTACTACAACTGCTGCAAACACCATTCTAATGGATCATGCCCTCTTCCTTGCAGGAAGGGAGCACTTACCTCCTTAGTGTTCTCCTTGGAGCCAATCTTCTTAAATATTTCTGCCAAAATATCATTAACTTTGGCCTTCGAAGCCTTTTCCTCCTAAATAAATAAATACAAGGAGACTTCTAAAACAAAATGCATAAAAATTAAGGGAAGTCAGATGAACCTACAGTGCCCTCAGCCATGACAGCTGGATACAGGGCTTCCAAGGTGAAGAAAATCTCGAAGCAATCAGGGTTTTACATAGCCAGTGTTTACACAGAGTAAGAGCATGGATATCATCCAGCTGCAGGCTCCTTCGGAGACACAAGGGTTTAAAACCTGGTTTGGGTATGGTTAACATTTAGTAGCTCAAACACAGCATCAGGCAGCATAAAACCTGTGCTGCACCCCTGAATGTCCTGGAGAGCACTTCATCCTGGGATATGCACAGAATATCAGGTCGTAACAGAAACACACTGCAAGTTCCCAAACAGCCATAAACTAAAGTGAAACTAGAGGAGTATGTCCAACACTAGTTGCCTGCTGGAAAGGCAATAACTCCTTCATATTCCACAATCACTAAATTCAGCTTGTCTCTGAAATAAATTGCCTTACATTCCCTCTCCCTGCCAACACATGTCCGTGACTTACTATGCGAGAAGCCCCCTTTTCTGTGTCCTTATCAGCTTTGCTTCCAGGCTGGTCCAGGGAGTGCTTCATTACTCTACACAGGTGAGCCTCCAGCTCAGACTCATTTTTGTTGTCTATCATTGTTAAGTGATCTAAGATCTAAAAGGAAACAAAAGGAATCAATTAAAAAAAAAAAAACAGAAGGAGAAGCTTTAGAGACTGCATGAACACCCAATTTAGAAGCACAAATTAAAAGACTCGTGACTGCTCTGACCTTGGGCCCTTTCAGCTTGCACAGGGTGTGAAGCAGAGTCTTCAGGGTCCTGATAGGAAACTCACTCTTGCATTGCTTCAGCTTCTCTTTGGGAAAGACCTTCATGAAGGTGTGGATATCCAGCAGAATCCGATCCAGATTAATGCTGTTAATGGTTTCCGGAAGAAGACGCACCATTCTCCACAGACACTGCAACGAGAGGCTGACTTAAAGCAAGACATCTCAAGGAAGAGGCCTTCAATTCTATAAGGA